GCAGTCAGCTCCCCAGCAGAGAGTCCCCCCACCCCCATTGGAGCCCTGGCTCACCCTGTGGGGCCCCCTGCTCCCCCAGGTGCGATGGGGAGCTCCCTGCTCTCTAGGGCTCCAGAGCTTGCGGCTCCCACAAGAACTTCCTCCTGAACACGCTGCTGCTTGCTCTGCTCCTGCAGTCTGAGCCCTGCCCTGTCTCCCGTCCCAGGTGCTTGGGGCTCTTGGCAGAGCCCGGAGCTCCTCGCTAGAGAGCAGCCCAGGAGCTCGTAGGGGTGCCGGGGCGTGAGCAAGGAGCCGCGCTCCTCTGGCCTGGCTGGCTTGCTGCCAGCAGATTCCAAATGCCATTTTTGCTCTTCACACAACAAAGCAGCAAGGAAGCACACAGGTGTAGAGGAGTCCCATTACCCATGCCCCTCTCCCCATGCCGTGCCGGCCTAGCCCCACACACACTCCTGTGCCAGAGAGGCTGGGGGCTTCTCAAACGCACAGCGCAGCCAGGGCCACTGGAGGCTCACAAATTATTGACAGGAGACGCCCCAAGGCTCATGCAGTCCGACCTGCAGCAGGGGCAGGCTTTCCATGTGTCAGCACTGGGCTCGTGGCTCGGGCACCGGGCTGGGACTCAGCCCATCAATTCCCAGCTGTGCGACCCGGGAAGTCACTGACTCTACTGGTCCCCGCTCCCTGCTGGACAGGGCCGCCCAGAGGGGGCGGGGGGGGGGGGAGGGCAAGTGGGGCAATTTGCCCCGGGCCCCACAGGGGTCCCCACGAGAATATAGTATTCTATAATATTGCAACTTTTTTTAATGGAAGGGGCCCCAAAAATTGCTTTGCCCCAGGCCCCCTGAATCCTCTGGGCAGCCCTGCTGCTGGAGAGGGGTGCACATGCAGGAATGGCAGTACCCAGCAAGAGGGACACGAGAGAGGCAGCTCTCCCATGCCTGCAGAGCTGTCTGGCAAAGCCGTGGTGTTCCCCCCTGCGTGGCAGACGCCCATCTCTTGCTGCACAGGGGGATGGCTGTTCTTGGCCTCTTACGGCTCGCGCTGCAGCAGAGGGCATGACAATGCGAGGCCTCGGGTGGCCCCAGAACAGAGGCTCCTGGGTGCCCAGCTGGGACACCGGGCTCTGGCACAAACCGTGTTCTCGTTCCAAGAAGGAGCTGCCAGTTGCCAGATGTTTGTCAGAAGCCACCATGCAGTGACTGATGCCAACTCTGCACCATGGCAAGGGGCTGGCCTGCACCTCCCCTCAGCCCTCTGGCAGCAGCTGTGCACCTGAGCTCCCACAGCCAAGCACCTGAACTTCCCTGTTTAATGATGCTGGTTCTGGCGGGACACAACTGAGAGTGCCAATTCATGACAAATTGCTTAAAACAGGGCAGTTACAGCCCAAGGCTGGGGTTTTTCCACCTCTAAGGCAAACCAAACCAGCCAGCCAAAGAGGACTTTGGTTTTGCCCCACTGACTAACCACAAGTCACACAAGCAATTCCCTTAGACACTCTAGTTTCCCAGTATCACCACCAGTGCCACAATGGTTATGAAAACCAATACCCCACTAAAAGAAAAAAAGTTCTCCTGATCCCCAGGGACCAAGCCCCAGACCCAGGTCAATATACAAATCAGATCTTACCCACAAATCACACTGTTGCCAATCCTTTAGAATCTAAAATCTAAAGGTTTATTCATAAAAGGAAAAAGATAGAGATGAGAGCTAGAATTGGTTAAATAGAATCAATTACACACAGTAATGGCAAAGTTCTTGGTTCAGGCTTGCAGCAGTGATAGAATAAACTGCAGGTTCCAATCAAGTCTCTGGAACATCCCCAATTGGGATGGGTCATTCAGTCCTTTGTTCAGAGCTTCAGTTTGTACGAAGTCCCTCCAGAGATATGAAGCAGGATTGAAGACAAGATGGAGATGAGGCATCAGCCTTTTATAGTCTTTTCCAGGTGTAAGAACACCTCTTTGTTCTTACTGTGGAAAATTACAGCAAAATGGAGTCTGGAGTCACATGGGCAGGTCCCTGCATTCTTTGCTGAGTTACAAGGCGTATCTGCCTTCTCTCAATGGGTCAATTGTATAGCTGATGGTCCTTAATGGGCCATCAAGCAGGCTAGGCAGAGCTAACACCAACTTGTCTGGGATGTCACCCAGAAGCATAGCATAAGTTTGAAATACAGACAGTATAGAGACAATATTCATAACTTCAACTACAAAATTGATACACACATATAGACAGCATAATCATAACCAGCAAACCCTAACCTTGTCTTAGACACTTCATTTGACCCCCTTTATACAAGATTTGGTGCCACTACAGGACCTTGGTTGCAACCATGTTCTATATGGTCCCAGATCAAATCAATAACGTTACACCCTGGCTACATCCTGGGCTGCATCCGCCAGGGAGCTCTGGGTCCACGGCGAGCCGTCCCATCAGAGCGAGCCCGGCTTGTTCACTGGGCGAGCCATCCCTTCAGCGAGCCTGGCTTGTTCTCTGGGGTTTGGGGCCATGGCGAGCCCGGCTTGTTCTCTGGGCCCTGGGGCTATGGCGAGCTGTCCCTTCAGAGCGAGCCTGGCTTGTTCTCTGGGTGAGCCGTCCCTTCATAGCGAGCCCGGCTTGTTCTCTGGGCCCTGGGGCCATGGCGAGCCCGGCTTGTTCTCTGGGCCCTGGGGCCATGGTAAGCCGTCCCTTTAGAGTGAGCCTGGCTTGTTTTCTGGGCCCTGGTGACAGTCACCTCTGCAGCGGGGGCGTGAGCTAGCGTCGCCCTGAGGCAGCGTGAGGCTCTGGCCATGGGGGGGCAGTGGAGAGAGCATCCGGTGGGGTCCCTGGCATGCCAGGAGGGCAGGGAGCCAGACTCGTTCTCGTGGGCAAGGTGGGAGCGGGCGCGGGGCTGGGCCCGGCTGGAATGCAGGACACTGGCACTTTGTTTGGCAGGGGGTAGGCGGAAGTCAGGGCATTTGATCTGAATTCTACAGTGTGTTGTTCAGGGTCCCATAAAGGCCTCATTGTATGTGAATAGTTTATAAAGCAGCATATGACTTCCCAGTGCAGGGCAGCGGCAGATAGAGACAAGGGCAGGCAGCGCGGGGGGCTGAGCTGCGCAGAGACATGAGAGCTTAGCGGGGACCCTTCCGGGCTGCTCAGAAAGGACACACTCCTCACCACAAGGTAACACGGCCGCTACAGGCCCCGACCCATCTCCTGCTCCTGCCCCTCTGCAGAGCCCTGCACAGGAGTCAGTGGTGCAGGCGGAGCCGACGGGCAGAGGCAGGTGATGGCTGCAAGTCGCGTTTCTGGGTCTGTCTGGGTCTGGCAACCCCAGCAGGGGAACGGACGCTCGTCCGCTGGGCCCGCTGCGGCTGCTCCCAGTGCTCTGGCAGGGGACGGGGAGGTGTTGTTGGGGTCCTGGTGCCATTCTATTCTGATGGCCGGTGCAACGTTCTCCCCCGTCGTGGTGCTCTGGCTAGAGGTTGGGAGAAGGGGGCAGGCAGCAGGGGGCTGGGAGACGTCCTGGTGGAAGTGGGTGGCCCAGGTACACCCAGTCACAGCTTATCAGCAGAGCAAACAAGGGCTGGAGCTGTGTGGGGGGAGCCAGGGGCTGGCCCCAGGCGGGGCGGGAGCGTGCAAGGGTAACACGTGCCCTCACTTCCTGGCGTGTAGCAAACAGCAGCAAAGGCCCATGCAGTTCCCTGGCCCCGTGGCACTTGGCGCATGCTGCTCCCTAGGATGTGGGGTGAGCCAGGTGCCCTGGCCCTGGAGAGCACATCACCTGCTGCTGCTTAGTGCTCCGGCCCCAGCAACACCTTTTGGGGCTTGACCCTTCCTCAGCAAGAAACTGACCTGCCCAGACTGAGGCCCTCTGTCCTGCTGAGCGCTCTGCTCCTGCCCGGCCGGGCTGCGGGTGGAGAGCAGAGCCCCTGACTGTGCCCCATGCTGGGGGTCAGCACAATCAGCGCGTGCCAGGGAAAGCTGCACCCCACCGCACTCCTCCCCACTCCTGAGGGGGAACAGCTGCCCCACAGTCCACCCCAGTGCTCCAGCCGCTGGCCCTAAATCCCACACCGGAGTGCCCTGGGCTCTGCAGGGTGAGGGAGTGCTGCAAATAATATGCAAATGAGCAATCCAATCAGCACAGACACCCCAGGCCCCAATCGCTACATGACATTCAATGTGTTCTAAGCTTCTCCTACCTCAGCTTCACCGCGCTGCAGCCGGGGGGGCTGAAATCAGGGCAAAGCTGGAGGGTCAGACAGCTGGGGCAAGGGCAGGGGGGGGTTGGAGCTAGAGAACCCCAGGAGGAGGGAGGGGATGAGCAGATTAGTTGGATTCTCCTGTGAACGATCAGCCATGAGAGGGAACTATGTCGAGAATGAAAAGCACATTGTTAGTGTAACCCAGACATCTCCTGGGTGTGGTGTCTGTCCCATCTAGTGGCACCGAGACCATGTAGAGAGATTAATGAGTTTGCTCCGCAGCCTTAGCTGAGCCAGTTGGCTTTTAGCTCATGCTGCAGCGGCCCCAGGTTTGATCCTGCCTGCCAACGCCTGGGGTCTGTCTGTGTTACGTTAGGTTTCAGAGTTAACACTTCACTGAGGTGTCCGGATTAGTTCCCAGCTCCCTGTGCTCGTTTCAGGCTGCCTGCAGACTCTGGCAGAGAGCCTGGTGTTTGTTTCAAAGTGGTCAAAATTCTGCAGGCTTCCTTTACAGCATGAGGGCTAGAAACACAGACCAAGAGTGTCACTAGTGGTGACTCAGTGTGGGTGCCCACTTGCAGACAGCCAGGCCTAACATACAGCGTGGTCGGCTCCCCAGCTACCACTGGCCAGGCTGTGCGGACACTCACATCAACAGAGGAAAGGGCTAAGTAAGAAGCCCGGTGAATGCTGTCCCTGGATCCTCGACTGCTTTTGGCCTCTGGTCTCCAATCCTCTCAGTCCACAGGGCCCATCTCTAGGGTCTCTGGGCTGCTAACCATCTCCTGCTGCTGTCTCTTGCAGGTGTGAGGCACAATGAATTGGGCAGGCCTCTACACAGTGGTGAGCGGTGTGAACCGCCATTCCACTGCCATCGGGCGCATCTGGCTTTCTGTCATCTTCATCTTCAGGATCATGGTGCTGGTGGTAGCAGCTGAAAGTGTCTGGGGGGATGAGAAATCTGCCTTCACTTGCAACACACAGCAGCCAGGTTGCAACAGTGTCTGCTACGACCACTTCTTCCCCATCTCCCACGTGCGCCTGTGGGCCCTGCAGCTGATCCTGGTCACCACACCCGCCCTGCTAGTGGCCATGCACGTGGCCTACCAGCAGCACCAGGAGAAGAAGCTGCTGGTGCTGACGGGGCACGGCGACACCAAGCACCTGGAGGAGGTGAAGAAGCACAAGATGCGCATCTCGGGTTCCCTGTGGTGGACGTACATCTGCAGCGTGATATTCCGACTCCTCTTCGAGGCCGTCTTCATGTACATCTTCTACATGATCTACCCTGGTTACCAGATGATCCGGCTGGTCAAGTGCGAGGCCTACCCATGCCCCAACACCGTCGACTGCTTCATCTCCCGGCCCACCGAGAAGACCATCTTCACTGTCTTCATGCTGGCCACCTCGGGCATCTGCATCATCCTCAACATGGCCGAGCTGGTGTACCTGGTGGTGCGGGCCTGTGCCCGCCGGGCCCAGCGGGACTCCAACCCCACATCGGGGAAGAGCTCCTTGTACGGCCACAAGCTCTCCACCGAGTACAAGCAGAACGAGATCAACCAGCTGCTGACGGAGCAGGACGGCTCCCTCAAGGACATGCTGCGCCGCAACCCGGGGCTGCAGGAGAAGAGCGATCGCTGCTCCGCCTGCTAGAGGCACCAGCCCCATTGGGTGGGGGCCCTGCCATGGCACAAGGCCCTTACCCCTCAGCCCTCCACCGGGAGCCATGGGGGACAGGCTCTGCAGGGAGACGAAGAGTATTGAACGGAGCCTGTTGGTACACTCATGACTGCCTGAGCTCCGGCCCTGGGACACTGCCAGCTTGTGCACAGGTGTCGTGCCAAGGCCTTCACCCCTCACTGCCATGGGCCCATGGCCACGCACAAGCCCAGTCATCACACCCTGAAACCCGTCAGAAAGGCTGGGGCGGCTGCAGAGCGCTCGGAATTTGCCTTAATTCATTGTGTGATGTCCCCCAAGCCCCACCGGTGCCCCCAACAGAGGCCCTGTCTCCTGCAGGGAAAGGAGCCATCCTCATTGCGGGGCCCAGCCCCCGTGCCTGCTGAGACAGAGGACACCAGGTGGGGCCTGGCAAGTGGAGTGTCGGAAATGTCGGCCATTAAAGCTGTGTTTTCAGGAGCTGCCTCTCTCCCTTTGTCACCTGGGGTTTGGTGAAGGCTCAGGATCCCCGGGGCGGCGGGACTGCAGGCCCCCCCCAAACCCTGCCAAGCCGGCCCACTGGGCCAGCTCCTTCCTGTCCTGCTGGGGGCTGGGCCAAGCACAGACTGAACAGAGAGCTGCATCCCCCCAAACACCTGCCAAACCCTCCGGGCTTCTCACGGCAGCCAGGCCCTTCCCCTGTATCCGGGGGCTGCTCGGACCCTGCCCAGCCCCGCAATGCTGCCAGAAGGCTGCAGACCGCCCAGGTTCTGTGAGCATACTGTGAGTGTCCATCTGTCCTGGGCTCACAGCTCCTTGGTCAGCATGGGATGCCTTTCCAGCAGCATGTGCAGCAGGACAGCTTTCTCCCCCAGGGCCAGGACCCATCTTGCTGCACATGCAAGTCCCAGACCCCTGTGCCCTCTGCCCCTGCTGGATGGGGCACACTCACAGGCCAGAGACCACTTCAAAGCCCAGCTCTGTGACATACCAGGGCACAATCCAGACTAGTTGGGGGCTGTGTCACCCCTGCCCTGCAACCTTGGGTGCCTTGCTGTAGCAGCTCCGACCCGGACTCTTCACAAACAGCCTCCAGCATGCAGGGCAGCCCCTGAGTGTCTGTGTGTGACTGCACCCAGCCAGCCACACCCTGGCTCTCACCAGCCTGGGTTACACTGCAGGGTGACCCCAGCACACCGCCAGTCCTGGATCTTCCCCCAGAAATGTACGTCCAGCCCTGGCCTGGACAGCAAATATATTAAATCCAATATTCCTTTAATGGAATAATATGCCAGTTAATTAGCTTAGATAGTTCTTCAGACACTTCACTTAAACACACTGGCTTAGATAAAACAGCCAAACATGTTTATTATCTACAAGGAGAGAGATTTGAAGTGAGTACAAGTAACACGGCATAAAAGTCAGAAATGATTAGAAGAAACTAAAGAGAAACCCTTTGTTGGTCCCTTGCTTAACAAACTACAGCAAGGTCAAGCAAAGCCTCTCACCACATGCTGCAGCAGATTACTGTCCAAATGCTCAGGTCAAGACCCTCCCCAGAGTCCAACAACTGCTTCCTTTTGCTCTTCAGGCACAGTAAATGTGATTGGGGGGGGGGGCGGGGCACGTTGGGGTGTTTGGCCCTCCTGTTTATGGTTTCAGTCCCCCAAAAAACATTTCCAGTTGGTACCAGGAGCCAAAATGTCTAGATGGAAGGATGTTCCCTGCTGTTTTTTTCTCACCTGTTTGAGCTTCATTTCCCTCCCTGCTTGATGATTCTGTTTCCTGCTTAAATGCAAATGAAGCAGAGTGCGCTACTTTGTGTAGGACAGACCTGTCTGCCTGGGCTGGGCTGTGGGGTGTGGAACGTGTGCGAAGCACCATCCAGGGAAACCCTACCACTACACACACAATGGTGGCACATTTTACCAGGATGCTACTGAGCAGCAGATGAGTTTTCACAGGGCTCCTGTGCAAAGGTGATTCCAAGAGTGAGCAGGTGTGAATATAGCCCCCACCCCCAGCCCTGTGGGTGGGGCACATTCACAGGCCAGGGATCCCCTGCAGCCCAGCCTACAGGTTGTGCCGCATAGGATAGAGTTGGGGCTCAGGGAAGACTTCAAGGGACCCCCCCTCAGAAGTGGGAAGGGGGGCTGCTCCCTGCTAGCCTGGGGCTGGGGGGCAGGTGTGGGGGGTCTCAGCTGTATGTTTCTTTAATTTTCATGAGTAGTTTTCTCCCCTGGCTAGCTGGACATGGGGCCACTGAGGGGAGGGCAAAGGAGGCGCTAAGCCTTATGTGTGGGGGGGACACACACCATGCTGGAGAAGAGGACGGGGGCACCATGCTTGAGAGATCTCCATGCAGCTGAGGCAGTGGAGTGTGCTGGGTGCTGCGTGGTGTGGGGCAAGGACGTAGCCCCAGCCCAGGCCTGTCCTGCCCCCTTGCTGACAGTACCACACTTGGGCCACGCAGACAGCCCCTCAACCTGTCCCAGACAGACCGCCTGGGCTGCCCTGTGGAGGGCAGGCAGCATGCCCACCACAACTGGCCTTTGCACGGAGCAGATACAGGGGCCTGGTCCCTGCCCGGAGAGCAGCCGGGCAGCGGTTGCTGTCCCCGGGCACAGGGCAGCCCCAGACGCATTCCCAGCCTGCCGTATGGAGGCAAGCAGCGTAGGGTGCAGTATGACCAGTTCCACCAAAGCTGGAGCCTAAACACCTGAATGAATCTTAGTCTACCCTCATACTTTTCCTGGGCTTATTGAGAATATGAAATAAGAGAAATCCAAAGTATGACTCCAACCGGTTCCCATGCGTACAGGTCAGTCAGACTTTTGAATTGGTGGGAATGGATTTAACAGGGCCATTACCGGCAACGAAGGAGGGATACCGGTATATACTGACAGCCACAGACTATCTTACAAGATGAGTTGAAGCATTTCCACTTCGAAACAAATTGGCATCTGAGTTGTTAAAAAAAATGTACGAAATTATACAGCAACTTGGATGTCCACAGCGTTTACTGACAGATCCTAGGCCAGAATTCAATAATGAGGTAAATACTTTTTTCTGAGGTTGTTTTTGACTATGTCTTCAACCACACTTTCAGATCACAGATAGTTGACAGTAAACATGGGCTTCATTGCCCTGGGGAGTTTTTCTTTATGGGCATTTTTGCTGACAAGTTTCTATGAACTCCCACTCAACTTTGGCAAGGATTACTACTGGTCACCCCATCAGGGTTGCTATAAAATGTTATTCTTTCATCTCTTTATACCCACCAAACCTGTCCAAAGGAAAGTTTATGGCATAACATTTTTTCTTTCAGTATAACCTAGACATTTGCAAAAAATTGGGACTACAGCATAGCTTCACCAGCCCATACCACCACAAACCAAATGGATTGGCTGAAAACACAAACAAATCCATCAAAAGGTAATTTTACGGCTGGGAAAATTACAGTATTAATAGCAAGGAGAATGCACTATGACAGAAGCTACAAACTGCTTCAAAATGTTAGTACGTTGCAAGTCCACTTGTCTTTTATTTCAAGAAAAAGTAATCGTACCAATAAACTAGGATGGCCTCTTTATGCCTTTTGGATCACGTATAATTTCTCTCAGTAAAGACAGTCCTTTCCCCTCCCCCCACAAATAATTAGGTCCTATGATGATGTCACTTGAATAGATATGTGGGCAGAGTTGGCATCGGGCTTTGTTGCAAGGATAGGTTCCTGGGTCAGTGTTTTTGTTCAGTGATGTGTGGTTGCTGGTTTGGGCCCAACAAAGAAAATAACAGAACACCATTAGCTGTCACCTTCAGCCCCCAACTAAAACCTCTCCAGCGCATCATCAAAGATCTACAACCTATCCTGAAAGATGATCCCTCAGTCTCACAGATCTTGGGAGACAGACCTGTCCTCACTTACAGACAACCTCCCAACCTGAAGCAAATACTCACCGGCAACCACACACCACTGAACAAAAACACTAATCCAGGAACCTATCCTTGTAACAAAGCCCGATGCCAACTCTGTCCGCATATCTATTCAAGTGACATCATCATAGGACCTAATCACATCAGCCACGCTATCAGGGGCTCGTTCACCTGCACATCTACCAATGTGATATATGCCATCATGTGCCAGCAATGCACCTCTGCCATGTACATTGGCCAAACCGGACAGTCTCTACGCAAAAGAATGAATGGACACAAATCTGATATCAGGAATCATAACATTAAAAAATCAGTAGGAGACCACTTTAACCTGTCTGGTCATTCAATGACAGACCGGCGGGTGGCAATTTTGCAACAGAAAAGCTTAAAAAACAGACTCCAAGGAGAAACTGCTGAGCTGGAATTGATATGCAAACTAGATACAATCAACTTAGGCTTAAATAGAGACTGGGAATGGCTGAGCCATTACAAACATTGAATCTATCTCCCCATGTAAGTATTCTCACACTTCTTATCAAACTGTCTGTACTGGGCTAGCTTGATCATCACTTCAAAAAATTTTTTTCCTCTTACTTAATTTGCCTCTCAGAGTTAGTAAGACAACTCCCACCTTTTCATGCTCTCTGTATGTGTGTATATATATCTCCTCAATATATGTTCCATTCTATGCATCCGAAGAAGTGGGCTGTAGCCCACGAAAGCTTATGCTCAAATAAATTGTTAGTCTCTAAGGTGCCACAAGTACTCCTGTTCTTTTTGCGGATACAGACTAACACGGGTGCTACTCTGAAACCTACATCAAATAGTTTCTAGCAAGGTCGGACCTATCGCTGCTCCAGGTAGCAAATTCCTACAGATATCTGTTTCACACACCCTATGGTGTAAGAAACTGCTTTCTGTAGGAATTAGCTAAATCAAATAGCAGTTTTTTAGCAAATTAGGAGGAGTCAGCAAATAAGAACAACCTTATGTTCTTGGTGGTGATGGGGGACTTCAACTACCCAGACATCTGTTGGGAAAATAACACAGATTATCCAACAAGTTTTTGGAATGTATTGGAGACAATTTTTTATTTCAGAAGGTGGAGAAAGCTACTAGGGGAGAGGCTATTCTAGATTTGATTTTGACAAATAGGGAGGACCTGGCTGAGAATTTGAAAGTGGAAGGCAGCTTGGGTGAAAGTGATCATGAAATGATAGAGTTCATGATTCTAGGGCAGTGGTTCCCAGACTTTAACAACCTGTGAACCCCTTTCACTAAAATGTCAAGTCTCACGAACCCCCTCCTAAAAATGAATATTTCCAGGGATTTTCTCCTTTACCTGAGTATAAACGATAAAAGCAGTGATCTTGGAAATACAAAATTTGTTTTTATGATATGCTTATTAAATAATTAATAATAGTGTGTATCATTACAGTATTTTTATTACATTATGAAAATGGCAACACACTTCCAAGCTCTCACTTTCGTAGCTTGTGTCACTTTGAATAAGCCTGTTATAAGACAGGACTCCTAGGTTTCAT